GGGCAGGGCAACTTGGGGCTTTGTTTGGCTGTGGACATTGTTTTTTGGAGCAGAACGTAGGGAGTGCTTTGCCGACCCCAGAGCGTCGGGCCGGCGATGGCGAAGCAGACAACCAGTTCAAGGCCACGTGGACTCATGGGCATAATGCCACGTGGACGCCACGTTCACAGGTGATACCGGCGGATTCTACGGGCGTCGTCATGTCTCCATCAACGGCGGGATGTGTGACTCCCCAGTCCCATGCGGGCACTCCGCTGGTGGGCACACCTGCCCCAACGTCCCCCCTTCACTCCGCGGGGTCCGCGGGGTTTGCCACCCCTTGTGGAGTTGATTCCGCAGCCAGGGTCACTGCGCCGATGTCCCCTTCGGCGCCCCCCATCATGGATGTCGCGGCTATTCCCCATGCAGGAGTGGGGGATTGTAATTCCGCCGATACCTCCAGAGGGTGGACCTGTCCTCCGCTTGACCCCTCGCCACGCCCTGACAGGTAAGGGCTCCACTATCCGTCCACCCTTAAAAGTTTTCTCTCCCCCCCTGCCATCTCTCAACCCCCATTAAAGTTCTCTCTCCCCCCCTGCCATGGATTTCGTTTTCGATTCCGAAAAGGGTGTAACCCGTTAGATTGTTGTATTCCTGTGAGTCCAGGGGCGAGATTCCACTGGCAAAGAGGATTGCATTTGACGGCTGAATCTGGACCTGGTTCTGGAGAGGTGCGCAAAATCGTGATTGATCTGCTTTTCTGCATCTCTGCTTCGAACGCATCCAGATTCAGGTGCTTAGTCCAATCCACCTTGCTAGGGTCCGACCAGAAGGATCTGCTTTTCTGCGATCTGCTTAGGAACATTTACACGTGTACCCCACTTCAGCCACACGTGGGTCAATCGTTGCTCCTTGGCTGGGCTTATCTACTACCCACGTCTCCATGCACACGCTCAAAGCAGGCACGCATTTTTTTTTTTTTTTTTGTTTTGTTTTTCAACTTGATGTCGACCAGGTACGTTCTAGAAAATCGAAGCCTGAGCACCGTTTTTTTTTTTCATGTTTGCCTTCCGTTCTCTTCTTGCAAAACCCAAAGTAGCTGATGTCGCCCAGGTACGTTCGAAGAGAGGACGTATTCTGAAAAAAAGAGAAAGATGTCTGAAAAAGAAAAGAGCCACGGGTTGAGAGATGGCAGGGGGAGAGAGAGACCGCAATTGGTTTTGTGGTGCCGTTGATTAACCAATTGCGTTGATGCGTTCATTAATCAATTACCTTTCACTTCAAAACCCCAAGTAGGTATGCGTTGGGATTTGCCTTCCGTTTGTTCCCCCCCCCCTCCTCCGGGGCCGCTGGAGAAAGGCTTAAAAATGAGGACCCATTTTGACGGTCTACCCAAGTCTCCCGAAGAAGGAATTTCTTTGACTGCATTGTGATTTTGTAGGAATGTTTGGCTGTGGTTTGAATCTATCGAGGGTGGCTTAATCAATTTCAAGAGAAGGAAACACCAGAGTGTTTTCAGGGTGGCTTTATGATTTTTTCAAAATTGTTTTCAGGGTGGCTTTATTAGTTTTTCAAAACAAGGAGATAATAACTTTTTCCAAGCAAAAGATGACAGATCGCGCAAATTAAATAACCCTTTATCTGCATCTCTTACTTTCCAGTCAACCCGTGGTTATCATTTTCATCTCCTTTTTGTGGCCCCCCACGCCCCCAACCCCACCCCCCTGGGCCGAGCTGATAAGGGGGTTTGAACTCACGGTCCGTTTATCAAAAGATTCATGTGTGTACAATCTGTTCTCTGTGTGTCAGGAATTGAACTCACGATCTGCTTATCAACAGTTTCTGACGCGTGTACGATCTGTTCTCTGTCTGTCAGGAATTGAACTCACGGTCCATCTTTATGAGTTGTCTGATGCGTGTACCTTTCAGCCGTATCGGTGAACATGCAGCTGCTCTGCACAATCATGACTTGCCGACGTTTGTAAACATGCAGCTGCTCTGCACAATCATGACTTGCCGACAGTCGTGCCCTGTGCTTAATCGTGCTTCATTGTCATCACTTTTTTTGCCCTTTTCTTTCTTGCCCGAGTCTCGCACCTCCGGATGAAGACAAAGAGCCTCGCTTCGCTAGTCAACTTGTACATGCATCTGGACTGCCGGATGGACCAAATGCATTCTCACAAATCCAACATTTGCAATGTTTTGGGACCATTACGCGCTCCAGATGTGTTTGGAATGTTGTGCAGTGGGGCACTACGGCGCAAAATACCGACACTCACGAGGATACGACACTACTGTGCAGTTCGCAGAGAAGTAGTGGGCGATACACACCACGGGGGAAATGCCACGTACTGGGACTCTGCATCCATTTCTGACCGTCGATTAGGAAGATCAACGACCGCCGACGAGGAATGTGGGCAAGTGGGAGGTTTCTGCCCAGGGATTTGTTGAAATCCCACTTAGTCCTGCAGGGCATCCGTTGAATTGGAACGATACAGTAAAGATTAGCGTGGCCCCTGCGCAAGGATGACACGCATAACGAGTGTTTATAAAAAAAATCATGCTGGTCTTTCTTCTCTCAAGAGATAGCTACAATGCTGTCGAGAAATGGTCCGAATTTTTGGGATGAAGAAGAAGAAGAAGAAGAAAACAGGGCCTCTCCACGTGGATGCCGCATTCCTTGAAATTTCAAAGTGGGCTCGTTCCACACCACTTGAATCGGGAAATGGTCCGAAAAACGGAAAAAAAGACACTAAGATTGCTTGCTGCGCATGCGCTGTTGTGTGGTTTTATGGTGCTGTGATGTAAGCGTTCACTGACCATTCCCTTTGCTTGTGGGTGCACACATGTTTTCTCTCTGCTCTCGTTTTGGTGTTGTGTTCTGCCTGTGTATATACAGGGGAATAGTCCCAGGTTTCACTGGCTCTCCTCAGGGGCTGGCACTGGTGGCTTCGCCACCGGCCGCAGCAGCACCAGCTAGTCCTCACAAAGGGATTACAAAATCTCTTTCAGGAGTGGGGCTGAGCACAGCAGCCAGCGCCGAGCACAGTGGAAGGGGAAACACAGGCTGCTCAGGACCTCTGGATCTTCCACAGTCACTCCAGACAACCGGCTCACATCCCATTCTCCCAAGTTATTCCAGGTTCGCAAGCCCCTGCCACAGTCACTCCATATCTCCGTACCCTTTCCTGCAAGCCCCTGCCCTTTTTCTTTTCCTGCCCTTTCTTTGCTCATCAATGCCGCAGTTGATTCGAATGTATATGTCACAAACTGCACGGCACAAAAGCAGCCCCATGCATATTATATTAAATTATTACCAAAAACACCTATTGAAAATGTACTTACTATAGTACTGTTGCAGCCTATTGAAAATTACTTACTATAGTACACGGCAGCCCCATGCTATGATTGTCGTATTGTGCATAAGTAGACTATAGCAGGTGTTTTTCAATAGATTTTTTTAGCAATATTTTTTCTGAACTCGTACCTATACCACCAGGTACTTACAATAGGTGCACTTCTCGTTCAGCCAGAATACAACTGCATATCTATGTGATGATACCAAATGTCCAGGAGCTACCGAAACAGCGACCTGAAATGTGGGAGCTAACCGAAATTCTGGCAGAATGCCACTGCCTTCGCCCGAATAGAATGTACGCTCGTTAGCGATGACACGAAGTGTGTCTGTGTTGTTGTGTTCGCTATACACAACACACAAAATAAAGCAAAAGGAAAAACAAAGAAACAAAAAAACGTAGGCTCATTATTGCTGTATGAAGACTGCAAGTTGCCCCAAATACAGGCATAATGACAGTACGTTCTATTTTGGGAAAGATGGCAGGGTTTCCCTAGCATTCAGCCAGAATCTTAGGATAAAAAATAGTAAAGTGTTCCTTCCATTTCTGACGGAATACCACTGCCTCAGTTCCAGGCTCGTTCTTTGGCCCTTTTCTTTTGTCGTTTTTCAAAGAAAGCTTTTGTGGCTTTCTGAAAAGGATTGTCGGTCTCCACACAACCCATGTCGCTTAGTGCCACATGCCTGTGGCCGTTGATAATCAGATCGTGAGCTCGATTCCTCAGAAAATAAAACGGACACAGTAAGGGGCTATCTCTTTGTAAAGGCAGAAAAAAAGGAGTGAAAATGACTAAATGGCTTTTCAATCATCTCCCCCTGTCCTGCAGGTAAGCATTGTTTCCGATCATAAAAAAAAAAAGACTAGATGACTAAAGTTTTATCATCTGGTAGAGTGTGGTTGTGATCATTTTGTATTCAACAGTAAACACCGCTGCAGCGTGGTTGTGATAATAATACAAGCCCACCAAAAGGCTCTGGCCCTTGCTGGCCGATTTTGGATGGAGGAAGGGGCCATGTAGATGGCATAGCGAAGTGAAGGGTTCTGTCACTAGGGAGGTAAGCCCGTTATTCGAGAGCAAACAGGTGAGAGAAAGAGACTGGACAGGACAGGACACCAAAAATTTGGCAGTTAGTCAGCTAGTCACGCTGTGTTGCAGAAGCAGAAGAGGAGTACTAGGAGGGAGGGAGCCCTAAGCAAGTATGCAGCACTCTATAGATGGAAGACTTGCTGAGAAGGAGAAGGGTGAGACTTCATGAACCACTCAGCTAAGTAAGCCCTAAGCAAGAGAAATATGAGAAATAGCGATAGGATTAATAGGAGTTTGTTGTAGATAAACGACGAAGATGACATGAGCTTTAATATGACGGCTCTATCACACAGCAATACAGATGGAAGACTTGCTGAGAGGGAGAAGGGCAGAACTTCAGGCACCATACTGTTTTTTCGTTGCATATCAATAGATTATAGTTTTCAGACTGGAAAGCCATCTATTGCGAAAAGACTTCCCTGTGGAAGCCTCCCAAACGCTGCGCTGTTCCCTTATCCGGTTAATGCTGACGACTATGTCACGATCAGAGGTATTACATCAGAAGGATATCAATCGTTGATGTTCTCTTTTTTTACTTTTTCTTTTTCCCGGTTTCTTGAAAGGGTTAGCGCCTTGTCAATTGCCATCCTTTGACATTACGGGAGTCATGACGTTGAGGAGGAAAAAAGAATTGTCGACTTATTTTCGGAGGGTATAGGAATGGGTATGCTCCTGTTGAGATGTATTCCACATCGCTCCTGTTGAAAAGTATTCCACGTTTCCAGCATGCCGCTTGCCAGTTATCGTTCAGTATCGGTGCTCAGTTGTCATAGTGGCTTATTCATTTTTTTTAATCTGACCACCTTCAATTAGGTCTTTCCCTGTCTGTATATGGTTTTAGGGTTGGGAAGCTGGGTGTTAAAGACCGCTCAACTGGTTTTAGAGAGCGACAAGCATGTATGTTTTACCATGTTTTGGTCTGCCTCATTGTCGATGAGGAACATCTGTTCTGGTGCGCAGCATGAATCCGCCTTGGAAAAAGAGGCTCGGATGTGCTCTTGGTTTGAAGATCGAGTACATACGTTGTTTTGGTTTGGTTTGTTGGTTCTTTTTTTGTAAAGCCATCTCCAGGTTGGCAAGTGCTAGTACACACGGCAACGGATGGATACGGCATATTATTGTGTGTGTGTGTGTGTGTGTGTGTGTGTGTGTGTGTGTGTGTGTGTGTGTGTGTGTGTGAGAGAGAGAGAGAGAGAGAGAGAGAGAGAGAGAGAGAGAGA